GTGAAATTATGAGAAAATCTAGTCAGTATGTTACGTGCAATGCGTGATTCACACTTAGGCGATCATGTATCTTTCGATACCTGACTGAGGAAGCAGATTTTTTCCCGCAGTAGGTTAACATTTCTTTCTGCGGTAGACCAGTTGCTATCCAAGACTACAGAACCCGGTCTGTCCTGCTATTTACCCAAAGTTGGCGGGGGAAGAAGACGATTCATACCTTTCCCAAGGGTATTAACACGTAAGTGAATGTAATGGATTCGACTGGAATTCGAACTCGGTTCCCTGATTCCTCAATCCGAGCTGCTATCTATTATGTATACTGCGTGAAGACAGAGTACCAAGCTCATCAGAACAGCTATTGTGAAAATATTTATAGAAAGTGCAGTGAATTGTTTACCTGGAGGTTAGTATCAACCATGTTGATACAAGGTAAAAGGTTCATTAAGATGGTGAAGAGAGCAGTTTTGTTTTAGAGCCATTTCTTGCACCAATTAACAATAGCTACTTACCTTAATTAACAATCGATTGTCGATCATCTTTTAGTTCAGCTGCCAATTTGATTTTATTGAACCCATAAGACTTAATATTAAGACAGGAGTAAATATTTGTATCATCAGCAGAAATACTGAGTCGGGAACTGATGACACTAAAAAGATCGTTGATGAAAATAAGAAACAGAACAGGTCCAAGAATAGAACCTTATCTGACGCCTGCGAAATGTTCAAGAGGAATGGCTGTTAGCTATTTTGGCGTCTCACTTGCCAGTCATCCGTGAGTGATGTCGGCATAACGAATCATCATCAAAGTCGGTTTTTAAAGTGTATTTGAATGTATGATAGCAGGGTATATAAGCACATAACCGCGGATCACGGAAACTCTGCTTGAAAGCACTCGATCATATTCAATAAATATCTACATTGATTGGACCCAATCATACTCCCTCTTATTCGTAAAAAAAAAAATAAATAAATAAAATTCAAAAATCTTTTATAGTATTCTCTATATCTTCTTACCTCTGAAGTAGATATGTATTTTTTCACCTATTTTATTTTAACGATCTCTGTCCGAAATATTGTTCCTTTTTCTCTTACACGAAACTTTTCTGTCTTTACACACACACACACACACACACACACACACATATATATATATATATATATATATATATATATATATATATAAAGACATGTGTCATTAAATAATTTAGACAAGCTTTGTCTGTTTATTTTCGATAGGACCCTCTCATATTCACAATGTCTTTAGTATTATTATTATTAAAGGAAGAGAAAAATTACCATGTTGATTATTGCTTTCGAAAAGCATAATGTCATCATCAGTTAAAATGGTTCAACAAAAAATTATTCCATAAAAATATGATGTTTGATAAGAATTTTTCCATATATATATATGTATGTGTGTGTGTGTGTGTGTGTGTGTGTGTGTGTGTGTGTGTGTGTGTGTGTGTATAAATGAAAGGAATTTACTTATAGAAAGAGGTCAAAAAAAATGTGAAAACGGATATTTTTTTTGAATAGAATAGAAAGAGGTTACAGAAGGTTTGGAGCAAAGAGAAGAAAGAAAAGAAAGAAAGAAACAAAACAAACAAAAAATGATTCAGGGAAACAAAATGAAAGGATGATTTACTTATAGAAATTCGATTTTATGTAAAGAAGACAAATTTGTGTAAAAAAGTCTAAAGAAACGAAACAAACAAACAAACAATTGAAAACAAAAAAACGAAAACAAACAAACAAAAATTGAAATATAAAAAGAAAATGAAAAATTTACTTATATGTATTCAAACAAATGATTAAAAAAAAGGTTTGTTAATTTGAATTGAAAGAAAATAATATTCAGGAAAGAAAAGAAAGAAAGGTAGAGGGAAACATTGGCTAATGAACAAACAAAACAAACAAACAAACAAACAAAATAAATGAAGGATGATAAGGGTTATAGAAAGAGTCAAAAGGAATGTGGAAAAAAGAGATATTCTGGTTCATTGAATAGAACGAAACCCACGGAGAAGAAAGAAAGAAAAGAAAAATGAAAAAGAAAAACAAACAAACAAACAAACAAACAAACAAAAATAAACAAAATGAAAGGATGATAAAATTTCTTATGAAAAAAGGAGTCTGGTTAACGTGAAAGGAATGTGAAAAAAGAAAGAAACAAACAAAATAACAAACAACCCTAAATAGAATAGAAACAGAATAATTACTTATGAAAAGACAAAAGGAAGAAAAAAAGTTTATACAGCGTAAAGACATCAGGTTCTGGTTTACTCAATGTGAAATTGTCCTTAAACCGCCAAATCCGAAGGTTCTTATAGGAGTCAAAAGGATTTGAAAAAGAGATACAAACAATAGAATAGAAAAATTTTCAGAAATTGAATGAAAGAAACCAACAATGAAGAAAGAATTTTCAAAAAATAAAAACGATTAAACAGGATAAAAAAACAAAAAAACAAATAAACAAAATGAAACGAATAGAATGAATAAGG